GGGGGAGCAAGCATGTTCGCTCATATAGCTTAATATTTTACATTTTTAGGCTGTTACCTACTAGTAAGGGATGGGTTGCTCAATTTAAAAAAGATATTACCTATGGAAAATATATTCTGCAAGAACAGAAATCAAAGGACACCGTTTCAGTCTTTTCTCACAAGTAATTCTGATTGTCCTAATAATGATTGGTGGCATAGAAAAGAGAAGACAAAAATATTGCTGCAACATTTCATAACTGCATGAAATCCATCTCTTTAGAAGATGGAATCTTTGTATCTACTTAGAGTACTATTACAGTTTTTGACTGAACAGTCCATTAATAACACACTTATGCCATCATCCACGTCAAATAACTTAGCCATTTCTAACAATTGCCTGAAGTGCTTATAGTACTTTCTTTGAGGTGATATAATTTGCGTGAAGAATGCTGGATCCTCAGTGACTGCAAAGCGTGTTTATGAACAAGTCACTAATGAAAATACTTAGTAATTATAGTTTCAAAGCCAGGTACAAATATTTATTCTTCCAATGTCCCTGTGAGAGAGGCTTTTAAGTATTAGCCCTCTTTTGCAGTTGGGGAAACTTGAGGCAGGAAGAAGTTTAAACCTGCTTATGGCCATGCAGCAAGTTAGCAGGCAGGATTAGAACTCAGGATTCCTAATGTCTGACCTCATGTTTGGTCCATGGTCCCTTAGTGTCTTTCAGTGCAAGGCTGAGATTTGGAAAAGCACTCAGTTTTAGCCTAACTCTGCCCCGGCTGAAGTCAGTGAAATGTTAATAAAGATGCCACAGAGATAAATCAGAACAGGTATAGACAAGGAAGGGAAAGTCATGTGGGCTTAAGTGATAGGTTAGGGTTTGTCTACATTAGCAATTTTTGCAACAATAGAGCTGCACTGATGCAAAGTCTCAAGGTAGATGTGCTACACCAGCATACGGCAGGGCTTGCACTAGTGCAATTTATGCTGCTTTCAAACCAGAGTAACTCATGCTAGTGCCAGATACACAAGCCATTAGTGATGATGTTCTGTACCTCCAGGATTTGACTCCCAGTCCAGGTTTTAGGGTCTAATCCAGCTCCTGTTGCCAAGAGATCATACCCTTTCTCTTTAGATGCCAATCCTCCAATTTGCAGGGTGCCCTCAACTCAAATGGACTTTAATGGGTTGACTGCATTCGGTATCTCCAGGAGATACTGTGCTACTTGCAGGATCAAGCCCCTAGGAGTGTAGATTCTGGAAGTGGCTCTAATTAAATGAAGGAGCAGCACTTGTAGCTTCCAAAGATTGTCCCATCCAGTGCCCCACCCCCTGCCTAAAGGGAGATCGCTGTAGTATAGGGCTTCAATAATAATGGAAGGGTTAAAGGTTGGGGGGGGAAAACAGGATCATTGGGCCGCCTGTAGAGAATAAGAGAAAATACAAGATGATCCAGTTTGTTAGTCCATCATGTGAATACATGGTGATAATACACATAGGTCAAATCCTATGGAATGAACAACAAAAACAAAACAAAAAACACCTCAAAGTTAGGCCCCATATTATTAATATATTTTATTTTGATATCACCTACCTGCCACAGCATTCCAGGCATCTCAAAATCTACAAGCTTAAAAAAAAAAAAAAAAAAAAACAAAAAATCCAAATCCTATAAAATATTTAAAAGCTGTATCACAGGAACATGGTGAAGGTGGTTAAATGCACTGGGCCAAATTCAGACCCTAGTGTAACCGTCAACTGCAGTGGATGAATTTGGTTCCATTCTGCTTTATACTCCCAGCTTACTCGCTTTGGATCCGCTAAGGAAAAGATAGAAACAAATACACACAGGAAATTAAGCTACATTTTAAATATGTTCAAAACAGCATTAATGAACTGGATGAACCTCAAAAAAGCCAGAAAATGCAGACGCCCCCTCCCCTCCCCCAAACTATCTTGTACGGGGGTACTGCCAGAGCCTCTAGGCAATGGACAAACCAACACACCATGGGTACCACAACAGAGGGACAACGAAGCAGGGTAGCTACTCCATAATGTCACAGACAGGTATGCAAGACTCACATGTACTCTAGATCTTGTGCCTGGTGCATCTTCTCTGACGTGATGGTGGCTTGCAGTACACAGAGTTTAAGTGTTGGCATGGCAGCTGCAGCGTGGTTTCACCTGGATTTGGAGAGTTTAAGTAGGACCCTGAATGTTCTAAAATAAGGAATTATTTGAGACATATAGCACATCAGCATCAACTTCTTATCAATCATATTGGATAGCTTCTTCCTCTGCTATTGGCCTCACTTATTGTTTTAAACTTAATTTACTATACAACGCCTTCGCACCAGTTTTCTGCAATTTACACCATTTACTGTCTGATAGCTGGAATTAGCTAACTCATTTTCTTTGAAAATACTCTATTTGGTACAAAAATAAGACCCAATCCTGCAAATCAGATCCAGGCAGGCAGACCTCCTACACTCACATGTAAACTCAAAGGCTCTGCATGGGTGCAAGAGTCTGCTCGCATACGTCTGATTGCAGAACTGATCTTTAGAATTGTATTTTATTTCCACACAGGATTCATTCACTTCTATTTCCCTCCCTACCCCTTCCACTCAGGTAGGCCAGGGTTTTAAAGAGAGCTCAGTACCCACAGTCAGAGCCAAATTTTCACCATTGCTCTGGATTTTGGGTACAGAATTCTCTTGCAAATCTGTTCACAAAAGTGTCACAATGTGAGCTGCTGGGTGCTGAAAATCTGGTCCTCCAATTGTAGGGGCTGAACACCTGGAAATCTGGTCCTGAGATATTTTGAAAATGTGACTCCTAGAACCAATCTACTTCTTGCACCTGAAGGAGTGAAGGAATGGAGGACCTTCTCCCTTGCATCTCCCACTGCCTAGAAGAGCCTTTCACTACCTCTTTGTCTCTTACTCCATCACCCCACCCACCCCCTTAATTCTCAAATATCGTTTGGGATCATCTTTCCTGCTCTTGCTTTCATTTGAACTTTGTAGTTCTATTTCACACATTTTGTATGCAAGCTATTATGCAACATATAGTTTTATGTCCTAGTCCGAACTGAAAGGTATGTGATCAAACTTCAGGCCAAGAGACATTGTTATATAAAAACTTAGAGTGGCTCGTGTAATCCTGTCCTAGCCCACCCTGGGATCAGATTCTGTCTAATGGTTTCAGACATCATTTTTCTGCTTCCCCAGGAGGGGCTGGTTGGTGTGCAGCGAGACGGGTGTGGTATGCATATCTCATGCAGACGCAGCAGAGCCTGGGAAGCTGTGGCTTAACTAGATAAGAGAGAGGGGAAAGGAGTGAGGTGGCAAAGCAGCCTCGGCTCCCCTCCAACCTTTCTGGAGACAAGAAAACATTATGTGACAGGAGTGAGCAGCTGACCTTCTTTAGTGGATATCACAGCAGAGCAGTGCTCTTCATCGTCTTCCTCTATCTCCCTTCCAACAAGCTTGCTGCTTCAATTTGCATGGGGAACACTCAGGACATAACTCTTGCATTGAGCGCAATCATCTTCTTATTTCAAGAAGAACTCTCTTTCAGAGGGTGTGCATGTGTACCTTGCAATACTTCAGTCAATGAAGGAATGACAGACGCATAGAATGAATCTTGTAATTGAAGCACAGATGAAATAAGCTACAATTTTGTTACTAACATTTTTAAAAGAAATAGATACACACACACACACACACACACACACACACACACACACACACACTGACATCCCCATAAAATCTCCTAGTCCAATCACGCCGAACTATGGGTACTGTAGAATCAGTCCCTGTTTGGGAGCTCACAGATACTACTGGCCTACCCTCTCCTAGCACACGGTACTGTAAGAAATTATGCAAGAGCACCAGTTGTGTGGGAGCTCACATCTACTCCAATCCTATCCCATCATGGGCAGGAATGATTTAGGATCTCCATGTGCGGAAGCTCAAACCTGCCTTCTTTTTGTTGTGTTTGTAAAACACCTACAGTACTACCATGGGGTTCCTAGGTGCTACAGGAATACAAATAATTCATAGATGATGATGATGATAAATAAAATAGTAATACTCTAGTTCCAGCCTCTCCCAGACGGACACACTATGGACCTTATTCACAGCACCTCTCTCTTGAAGGCAGGGGAAAAATTATACTACATATTCCCAGATGGCTCTTCTGCTGGATGCTGTTTCTACAGGTTCTCCTCAATTCACCTAAGACCTCACACTAGTACCTTAACTCCCTGTTAATTAGAAAGTCCCTGAGCCTGTTCTCCTGGCTGACCACATAGAATCCTCCCCACCCCTTCAAAATGTGTGTATGAAATTAAAAGTAAAATCTATCTGTCTCTTCTAGGCTGTTTCTGCCTTTTTGTACACAAAGCCTTTTCAATAGCAAACCACTGGCCCTGGAAATAACTACACTTAACTATCAAGGTCCACATGGAATAGTGTCAAAGGAACAGGAGATGCACATAAGTCAGCTGGGAGCGCCAAGATACAAGAAAGAAGAATGGAGCAGGAACTGACGAGGGCACATGGGTAAGAGAACAGCTCCATCATAAGAAAACAGTGAAGAATGGAATTAGCAATGCTGAATAGAAGCAACTGTGACCGCATTCTCTTGTCACAGCTTTTGACTGGTAGCGTCACCCTTCTCTTAATCCCTGATCATTTAACTGGTCCACACCTTGTGAAAGTTCAAACGCGCCTTTCAAACAATTTCTACAACTGGACACAAATCAAAAACTATCACGCTTCATGCCACCTCAGCACTGGCGTTTCCATGCAGTTGTTTCACTCTGGCATAACAGAGGTAATACAAATGTGTACCAGTGCCTGAGTTAACCAGATCATGTGTTATAAATACAGCCAGGGTGTTTGCAGGCTGCAATGGGATGCAGCTTAGCTTTGCTACTTTGAGGAGAAGCACTACCCCAGATCATCTTCCGAATTTGATCCAGTCTTCCCCACCAAGTTGTTTCTTCCTCCCCTAGATTCTTAGGTCTGGTCTTCACTTAAAAGTTAGGTTGACACTGCTACAGCACTCAGGGATGTGAAAAATCCACACCCTTGAGCACTGTAGCTATGATGAGCTAATCCCTGGTGTAGATGCAGCTAGGTTGACCAAAGACTGTTTCCTTTGACCTAGCTACTGTTGCTCAGGGAGATGGAGATCCTACAGTGATGGGAAAAAAAAAAAAAAAAAAAACAGCATCTTCCGTCACTGTAGAAAGCATCTACACTATGAGATTAGAGTGACATAGCTACAGTGCCCTACCTATAGGGTCTCCTGGGGCCATGATTTATTTCGTTCTGCCAATGCCTCTAAGCTTACTACCTCTAAGACTTTTAGGCAGAGCTTCCCAAGAAGAGGAGAAAAGAACTGTAAGGAAGGAAGATGGTTAGGAGTGGGATGAGTTGATAATTAACAAGGTTGACAGCTGCTGTATTTGGCATCCTGCTAAAAACAGTTGGTTTTAAATTACTCCACAGTGGGAAAACAACTAATTTTTATCCATCCAGAGGGCTGCAGCTATTTTAAAATCTCACCTCAATCTCATCAAATCAGACCAGGATGGAAGGTTTGTGTCTATTGTCACAGAAGCAAAAGTCTACATGCTGTGCATTCTGTACCTCTTCAAGAGCTGCTGCACTTCCAGAAGTCACTGCCACAGCTCTGAGAATGGCGGAGGTAAAGCAGTTACTTTTCTGATGTGCTGGATCCTGGATGCTGCGCTCAAATATAGCTGAACAATGCAGTCATCTCATAACAGAGGTTCCTGAATGCTATGCTGTAAAACAGCAGAAGTGATGTAAGCTTATTGTGAGTGCTAAAGGGCCCAAGGTTAAGAACCCAAGTTTTGTTTATTGTATTCTATCTGCTGGTTTCTATTAATCCTGCTGTTGTAATTTCTGTAATCTTCCAATCCTGAACAGTCAAGAAGCAGAACTAATCTACTGCAGAGATCTACTGCAGCCAGCCAACTACCATTCTCACCCATCTCTCTGTTTGCAGAACCCCAGAATGCCAGCTACCTCATCAGGAAGAGCAAATGCTGCATCAGAGCTTCAAAATCTATCAAATCTGTCCCATGGTATCTGAAGCAAAGTGCTGATCTAGTCAATACTCTCCCAAAGAGTAGCCTTTTTAAAAAGCACAGTCTGTTCAGCACTATGCTCAGTATTTATAGTCTGTATGTGTAGGAGCGTCTATTTGTGTGTAACAGGTTTTCCTCCTCTCATTGCCCTGAGTCACACCTAAAAAAAAAAAAACAACACCACACAACTCCATCTCCCCCTCCTTGGCTCTGAGTCTATCAGCTTCACTGGAGTGACTGACAAGCAAACTGGAAATCTCTCAGAATGAACAGATCCAGCTACAGTATCACCATTCTGGTCTATCAGACAAGTCCTGAATGAGATTAAGTAAATTCCTTGCTGTTTACTATGGGTGGGAGGGAGGCAAAGCTTAGTTTTAAGGTCTTGATCTTTGAGTGAAACTTCAAAGGGTATGTTTTTGTATGAACCAGGCTTTCCCTCAGTGTCCTTGAACAAAATTCTTCTCACTCACTCTACATTGTTACATAAAATGGCTACCTGCCTTCTATCCCCATCCCCCAAAGATGGCTGCTTTTCACTAGTGGGCAGTTTGTACATTCACATGGTTTGATGTAAAACAGCATAACTGATGTTATTTTTTTAAATTAGAGGCTTTGACAGATTATTCGCCACACATCTAAGCTACTTCAGAGTCTGATCCGGCTTACACTGAATTCAGAGGGACCTTTGCCATCAACGCCTAATAAAAGTAAGACGAGATATTATGAAACAGACAATTTGCACTAAGTTACGTATTATCATACGGCAGAAAGTAATAAATTCACTTAAGAGGAATCACTGATGTCAAACATTGCCAGTTCAGTAAGGGAGCATGTAAATGAATAAAGACTAGCACCAGTGAGAGGAAACCAGTCAAGCACTGAGGAATCAATGCCAGAGAATGCATGGATTCAGAAGATAAAGGGTCTGGCTAGGGAAACAGTGTGGGAATGCTGTCCCGTGGATAGAATGAGACACTAAAAATCCCCGCTCACGTGTTCTGTTCCCAACTCTGCCACTGACTCACACGGAGAAAAAAAAAAAGTCACTGCACCACAATAAAAAGGTTACCCTACCTCAGGGGCTTAACTATTGTTTGTTAAAATGCTTGGAGATCCCCTTGAGAAGAGGGGCTATGTTAAATGCAAAGTGTTAATAGTCACAGAACAATGGCTTGCTTAGGAGAATGAATTAAACAGCAGGAGTAAGCATTACATTCCTGGGGGGGGAGGGGGGGACATGGCTTCTGAACTAGTGTATGAGACCCTCTGTAATTGGAACTCTTATCTATGGACCAGTTGTGATCCACAGAGCATTAGCTGGTGGCCTGCAGGCAGCTGGCTGGTCACTTGGTGTTGGATTGCTTTGTTTCCAGCTACTAAATTGCATTAGAATAAGTTAAACATGCATTAAATATTTTCCTGATGTTACTTTTCCATGTAAACTGCTATATTTGGCACAGGAATGTTATTCTATCACAGAGGCAAGGTGATTCCAATGACAATTTTTCTATTAAGATGGTTTTCTCATTTTGAAAAAGCTTAAGCCCCCATGAATTAGGAAATAGGTTACATAGAGAGAGCTGTTTAGTAACTGGCAGAATATAGGAAGAAAAAGCAGATACTGAAGGAAAACAACCCATTTGGCTCAGCATAACAGTCTAGAAGTTCCAAAGGAAAGAAGATTGGGGCGGGTTTTGTTTTACCATAAATAAACTGAAGACAGGAGTTTTCAAATAAACTTTCAATTCCAGCCGGCATTTCTGAACCTTCTCCTAGGGCGGCCATCTTGTTGAAGAGTGATTCTGGCAGAGTGCAAGCCTACTGGAAAGAACGGTCATCTTGTTTCCCCATATGCTTTGATAATAGTTTGACACATTAGAAAAAAAGGACATGTTACTGGCCCAACTCACCACTGCACTCATGTAATCCAGGGTAAAGTGGGTATAAAATGCTAGCAGTCTGATCTGATAACATTTTATACATATTGGTGTGACTACAAAAGGCACAGGACAACGGGGAATTGGGGCCACTATTTAAATACTGAAACACTGCAAACCAGATTCTGTCCCCAGTACACCCACTGACTCCAGGGAAATTGACCATCTGTAACCAACGGCATAGTCTGTGCTTAAAGCTTTCCTTCCCCCCCCCCCGCCATTTTTTTTCTTTATTACAGTCAAACCATTATTCAGGTTGGTAGGAAATTACATAGTCTCTGCTACTCATTATCCACATTGCCTGGGTCAATTTTAGAGGAAAATGACTGCCCACAGGATAGGGTCAGAAATGCCAAGTGGGATAAACATTTTAATCTCCCTTCCCACGTGTGTCAAAGTTTTAGTCCTGATGATAAATGTTTCTTACCCCTGGGAACGTTTGGGCCATTGGGCTGAATAAAATGAGTAGAGTTTTCCTTTAAGGAAGTGTGCAAAGGACTTGATTGATCAGGAAGCAAGACATTAACATCAGTGCCAGGCAGTTGGAGAGCACTGCTTAGACTGGAAGGAATGTATTCAAGGAGCAGGTCATGAATTCAAAAGCAGCCAAGAGGATACAAAACACCCAAACTTGGTGGGGGTGGGGCTGGGAAGGCATAAAACATTTGGCCCATCATGAGGTGTTTTGACCCTGCTTAGCAAAAATTACTTTTATTATGGGCCTATTCAATATATTCAATTATAACATTGGAGCCAGGGGAAAGAACCAGGAAATCTGCAGCTATAGCTGAATGAAAACTTTTTCGCTTTCAGCAAAGCTCAGACTGGACTACTTTCCATTACACTAAAAGTCAGCTGGGCCAAACTGGCCTGGACCTTGTTCCTGGATGCCAGAAAATGCTGGCTCCAGAGAACTGCCTGGGATGCCAAAGCCACAGCAGAAAAAGTAATTGCAAGGGTTCTGTTGGAGTTCCCTGTAGTACCTTTGTCTACCTAAAGCTAGCTGTGCCCTGCAAAACTTCCAACTCAATAAGTGGTAGGTGGCCAAGACTGTCTCTTGATATTGAAGATTTTTGTAGTTATTGTTTACACTACAATCCATATCCTTGCTACATTCAAACTGGCTTGGAAAAGGAACTTGGGGTTACCAAACAAAAGGATTCTGAGCTGCCCTCTGCTTCATGGGAAATCAGAGCAGAAAGGGAATGAAGAAGAGGCATCGGTCCATCTCAGCCAGCTGTTTGCTGAAAGGACTGTATGCACATACTCTCAAATCTAGAGTCCCCTTTGCATGCAACAGCTGATGAATATTTTAATTGCTAAATCCATGAATAAGTACACTGTGCCAACATGGAAATGAATCCAACATCCTAGACTATCTTCATGACTGCTACAGTCTGGGCTATACACAAGTTTGCTCAGACTGGGCCTAACCCTGAAAAAGTGCGAAGTGCTGGGCACCCTCAACTCCAACTGAAGTGAAGGCTCAACGGCTGCAGAGCCAGGCTTACTGCTGTGAAATTGCATCCGCTCTTTAGTCCAGACTAGATTCACTACAGCTTTGCACCTTGTATCATCTATGTACACGTGCGAAAAAAGTTTAAGAACTACCAAATCAGAACGTTGGCATTCTACACCCTATTTGCACAGGTATAAATAACTACACAAGGTTCAAGACAGTAAAGAATCAGGCCCAAGATTCCTAGCCAGTGACATGCAGTTGGCAGCACAAAGACGCCATCAGCCCTGAAACAGAGATGTTTTTGTGAAAGACAGTGACGATTTGTCATGTAGAACTTGAAGATCTCTCCAAGGACAGTATAGGTGAGCATGGGAATTGTCCTAGCATTATATGCTAGGGAATGAGAAGCTCTTCTGATGCAGCTCTACTGACACCTTAAATGACTGCTTCTTGGAGCAGCTGGCCCTGGAACCACCAGAGTAGAGGCAATTCGTGATTTAGTCCTAAGTGGAGCACAAGATCTGGTCCAAGAGGTGAATATAGCTGGACCGCTTGGTAATAGTGACCATAATAAAATTAAATTTAATATCCCTGTGGCAGGAAAAACACTACAGCAGCCCAACACTGTAGCATTTAATTTCAGAAAGGGGAACTACACAAAAACGAGGAGGTTAGTTAAAACAGAAATTAAAGGGGACAATGCCAAAAGGGAAATCTGTGCAAATTGCATGGAAACTTTTTAAAGACACCAGAATAGAGGCTCAACTTAAATGTATACCCCCAAATTAAAAAAAAACATAGTAAGAGAACCAAAAAAGAGCCACCGTGGCTAAACAAAGTAAAAGAAGCTGTGAGAGGCAAAAAGGCATCCTTTACAGAGTGGAAGTTAAATCCTAGTGAGGAAAATAGAAAGGAGCATAAACACTGGCAAATGAAGTGTAAAAATACAGTTAGGAAGGCCAAAAAAGAATTTGAGGAACAGTTAGCTAAAGACTCTAAAAGTAATAAAAAAAATTGCTAAGTGCATCAGAAGCAGGAAGCCTGCAAAACAACCAGTGGGGCCACTGGACGATCGAGGTGCTAAAGGAGCACTCAAGGACGATAAGGCCATTGCGGAGAAACTAAATTAATTCTTTGCATCGGTCTTTACGGCTGAAGATGTGAGGGAGATTCCCAAACCTGAGCCATTCTTTTTAGGTGACAGATCTGAGGAACTGTCCCAGATTGAGGTATCATTAGAGGTGGTTTGGGAACAAATTGATAAATTAAACAGCAATAAGTCACCAGGACCAGATGGTATTCACCCAAGAGTTCTGAAGGAACTCAAATGTGAAACTGCAGAACTACTAACTGTAGTCTGTAACCTATCAGCTTCTGTACCAGATGACTGGAGGATAGCTAATGTGACACCAATTTTTTAAAAGGGCTCCAGAGGTGATCCTGGCAATTACAGGCCTGTAAGCCTGACTTCAGTACCGGGCAAACTGGTTGAAACTATAATAAAGAACAATATTGTCAGACATATAGATGAACATAATTTGATGAGGAAAAGTCAACATGATTTTAGTAAAGGGAAATCATGCCTCACCAATCTATTAGAATTCTTTGAGGAGGTCAACAAGCATGTGGACCAAGGGGATATAGTGTACTTAGATTTTCAGAAAGCCTTTGACAAGGTCCCTCACCAAAGGCTCTTACGCAAAGTAAGCTGCCACGGGATAAGAGGGAAGGTGCTC